TCAAAATAGGAAGCGTGCTATCAAATCCTGTACATGTTAATAGTGGTGTTCCCAAAGGCAATGTTTTAGGTCCAACACTCTTCATACTTCACATAAATGACCTTTGCGATCATATTAAAAGCAACTGTGTTCTCTTCACCGACGGTTAAAGTATCAACACTACTGACAATGCAACTACCCTTCAAAAAGACCGTGACTATGTGTCAGATTGGTCTAACAAGTGACAACTTCAAATCTCAACCAATAAATGCTCTGTCTTGCACATTGGCAAAAAAAAAATCAAAACATAAAATACAAATTAGATAGACATGACCTTCTAGATGACCCTCATTCTGTCAAGGACCTTGGAGTACTCATTTCAAATGATCTAAGTGCCAGAGCCACTGTAACAAGATTGCCAAAAAGACATTAAGAGTTGTTAACCAAATCTTGCATAGCTTCTTCTCTGGTAATATTGTACTACTAACTAGAGCATACAAAACATTTGCTAAACCAATTCTTGAATACAGCTGATCTGTCTGGAACCCGCACTGCATATTGGACATAAATACAATCGAGAGAGTCCAGAGATATTTTACGAGAAGAGTCTCCATTCCTCTAGCCACAATAAAATACCTTATGCCACCAGAGTCCAAATTTTGGGCTTAGACAACTTAGAACTACGCCAACTTCAGTCTGACCTAAGCATAGTACATAAAACTATCTGCCACAATGCCCTACCTGTCAATGACTACTTCAGCTTCAACCACAACAATACATGAGCAAATAATAGATACAAACTTAAGATAAATCACTCCAAACTCGATTGCAGAAAATATTACTTCAGTAACAGAGTGGTCAATGCCTGGAATGCACTACCTGACTCTAGTTTCTTCCCCAAACCCCCAAAACTTTAACCTTAAACTGTCTACTGTTGACCTCACCCCATTCCTAAGGTCTGTAAGGGGCATGCATAAGTGCACCAGTGTGTCTACCCTCCCTGTCCTTTTTACTTACTCTTTTCATGTATTCAAATTATGTTTTTCTTATATATGATTGACAAAATAAAATAAAAAAATAAAAAAAATTGAAATCGTCATTTGATAATTGATGTAAGGAATCACATTTGCCAACAACAACCATAAAACTTTGAACTTCTGAACTTATGAGTTTATTGATAATCTGATCCAATACTCCTTAATATTTTCTAGAAGATACAATGCAGGTTTGAAAATTTGCTTTATAAAAGATAATCCAAGAAAGCATTATGTATAGGCCATTGAAATTCAATTTACATATTCAAGTAAGAAAGAGGAAATAAATCAGTCAATGACATACATTCATCAATGTTATATTAATATCCACATTACAATGGTTGTTGCCACAAATCAATCATCACAAAATAACGAGACAAAATAACAAGACATTTCATAAAAATGTGAATAATTTTTTATGCTCAAGTCAAAGAAGAAGAAAAATAACAGGTACTTCTAAAACACCTATGCTTCCCCATCTGTCCTGTATATTAATTTTCTAAACATTAAAGTCAATAATGATACAAGATGTTTTTGCAGGTTCAGCTCATGCAGATATGGATTATGGCTCACAATTTTCCACAACTAGTAATAGCATATAATTCCAAATAATATTGTAGCATTGTTGCGTAACAATGAGTAAATGATACAATGAACTACATTATTGTTTGTGTCTCAACATAATTAAGTTTAGAGATGACCCATTAAAACTAGTAATTCTTAAATTAATCATGATAAATTACCAAATTTATTTAAAAGAATATACCAAAATGTGGGTTCACTCCTATATATTGAAAGAAATCTATCATAAAGCTAAACATAAATAAAAGTCTGAGGCTTCATGTACTGTATTCAGCTATTGTTTCATCTAGAGTTTCTTTTCATTCCTACTATCTGAAGTGCTTTTACTTGGGACTTTACTTTATACAACTAAAACAGTGTGCTATAAAAGTAACCAATAACTCTCCTACAAATGATATGTTTAATAGTTTTTGTACATTTATATAGTGTGAAAGTAGGGTTTGTGGTAGCAGATTTTTCTTGGAAGCAGCTATTTTTGGCTTCAGTTTTTCACTGAAATGTCAACTTTGTTAAATTTCAAAACTTCTGATGGGTCACACAAATCTGCCTGATAATTCATTATAATTTTAGTCTGTGTAATTCACATCATTTATAATGGTTGATAAGAATTCTCCAGTTTCAGACTCTAGTTTTTCCCAACCTGACCTGAAAGGATTAATGAAGCTTGGGACCTCTTGAATACAAATATTTTCATACTTTTTATCAGCTAGTTGTTCATTCTAGTATATCAAGAGATTCAGGAGAAATAGTTTTCCCCTGTTTCAAGAACTTCACTACACATTTTGTTGGCCTAGTTCATAGTTTTTAGGGGGCGGGGGAATAGAAGTAATTGCTACTATTATTGTATCCCAAGGAAAAATGAAGAGCAACACAGAAAACTATATGTTCAGAATTTAAATCAATATAAATTCTCAGTATTTTTAATGAATAATGTTGGAATAAGAAAGTCAATATGTTATGAATGAGATAATAGTATATTCATTATTTTGCTATAGAAGCCTATTATAATGTATCATTTGTTTTGCACGATACATTGAAGGAGAAAAGATACAACTAATCAGACTTTCTACTGCTAAAAGATGTTCTACAGCAGAAGAATAAGTGCAGAAAAAAAGTGGTCATAAGCATACTCAGCATTAATACAAGCAGGGACAAAACAGTATCAGCAAATTAGAAATGAAGATTGCCATGGCAGCTTAAATATGTCTTGAGCCCTAAAATGCAAAAGCTAACTAGGTAGATTCCATGACCATTTTCAATAAATAAAAAGGAATCTCTCAAATGTAAGCACAACTGTAGTTTGGAATACTATTTCTCCCCCCCCACTTGCAAAAAAGCCACCCTCCAGATTCAACATTATATTTTAAAGATTTGTAGATTTAAACAGGCTTAGCAAGTTACTAGAAATCAAGGATTTTACACTCAAAATTAATTCCAAGCAAGGAGTCCCCCTAAAACAACATAGACAATAGAGAGGGGGAGAGAATTAGTTGTTTGCATTTGTGTTTCTATATTTACTAATTATTCTCCAACACTTTAATGTTTTAGTCATTTTTAGATTTTAAGGGTGTGAATAGAGCAGGGGGAAATGCTCCCGGTTTGGACCGGATTGCCCAATCTGGCAGCGATGAAGGCGGGTGGTTGGGAGAACTGGTAGCAAAAATCCCTGCCCCCCCCCCCATGCCCAGCTGAGCCGCACAATCATCAGAGGCTTTTTTTTTTAATTTTTAAAAGCATTTTTTATACAACCTCTTTGGCCAAAAAAATGCTTTTAAAAGTAAAAAAAAAAAGCCTCTGATGATCACGCGGCTCAGCTGGGATTGTCAAATGCTTTTAAAAGGCTCTGACGATCCCAGCTGAATTGCCTGATCGGCAGAGGCTTTTTTTCTTTTAAAAGCCTCTGATGTGTCAAGCTGAGTTGCCTGTTTGGCAGAGGCTTTTAAAAGAAAAAAAGCCTCTGCCGATGAGGCAACTCAGCTGGGATCGTCAGAGCCTTTTGAAAGCATTTTTTACAACCTCTTCGCAGAAGAGGTTGTAGAAAAAATGGTTTTAAAAGTAAAAAAAAAAAATTGCTCACGCCCACCCAGTCACATTACCCCCCCCACCAAGCCACGCCCACAGAACCGGTAGTAACAAATTTTAAATTTCACCACTGGAATAGAGTAATAATTCATGGCTCCATTTTGTAAGGCTTCTTCCATATTTCCCAACAAATTCTACTCATCCACCACTCTGTCTTTTCCAAACAAAGAAAGAACATGTCTTTAAACCTGATCAATGTAAATGTGTATGTGCCTTTGTACATTTTTTTTTATTTTCAGTCTTTAGCAAGAATATCTGGAGTTTGGGAAAAAAACAAAAGCAATTCTCTCCTCTTCCAATCTTTACCACATGTTCCCTAGGCACTTGAAAACAGCTGTTAATCCCTGTGTCTAAGCCTTCAGTTTGATTAGAAAAGAGCAAAATCAATTTTACTTTTCTACCGTAGGCATCATAACAGAATTTGTAGTTTTCAGCTGCAAGTTTTCAGATCCTTTCAAGAACGCATCCATGCAGATAGGAGCAGTTAGGTTAAATTGGGTTAATTATGAACTTGACTCCTAAAAACAACAGCCAAAATAAATAAATAAAGTATGTCTCACTGCAAAGGCTTCCAAATATAACCCAGCATATTGGAACTAGCACTGCTTTATTTCATCTGCCAGGTGACTGCTCAGGCAACCAGCTTACGATATTTTCCCTCCTCCCTCCCCTTCTGCCATTTCCCAACGACAACAAACTGACAGAAAACAAGCCTTGCCCATTTTGCATTTTTCCAATGTCTTCTGTTTCGGAGGCCTTTCCTTTATTCCTAAAGTGGTACTTGTTAAAGGAGCTGTGACCACTCAGGCTGTTTTCTTTGAGGATGATAACACTGCTGTAGAAGCTTCATTATTATGCTAATCGAGCACAGTCTGAGCAGCTTTCATAACTGCCACATTAAATCATCTACCAAGGGGAAACCTCAAGAGCCATTTACATTGCTCTGTATGCATATTAATGAAGCTGGATACTGCAGAGTTATGGAAAGGGGTTTTTTTTTTTTTTTGTTTTCTGTGGGCAGGAAGCAATAGGCTGATGGACTTGGGGAGAACATAATGTCAAATGCATTGGAAAATCAGAAGTGGTTAAACTTCAGCAAGGTTCACCTATGAAGTTCTGTAACCTGTTTCAATTAAGAGAGATGCTTGAGTGGGCGAAATTTAGCTAAAAGATAGCAATGAATAGGTGCAGATCACCATGCAATCAATGGCTTGTTTTTCTTGAATTAGGGAAGATGGGGAAAGAGGAGAAAAACAAAGGGAATCTGTGCAAGGCTTTGAAAGAACAGTATAATGCTTCACTCATTTGGCAAATCATTGCCAAAAACCTTGCCAAGAAAACTGCACAGCCTTGTCCAGGCAGTCACAAGGTATCAACAAGGACTAGAAAGCACAACAGTGACACATACAAAGACAGATATACACTTACTTCTCTGTTTCGTATACAAATGACTAATCAAAGCAGTTATCCAAGTTTTAAAATTAATTAATTCATTAATTACTAAAAGAGTGTGGGAATGTAAGGCATTTTTCAATTTGCAAAGCTCCAGCTTCTGCTCTGTTCTTTTTCACTTAAGCAGATGGTTCAGCAGAATGTGGAACTAATGGCACAGATCCATGAAAACACCTCAAGGGAAAGAACAGGTCAGTGGCTTTTTCTCTAATTAGATCCCATCATCTTCTTTAAGACATTTTGCCTTTATACTTTCTATCAAGTTGAATGGGTTAGATATTAAGACATTCTTTTTGTTTGTTTTTACTATTGTTGAATGTGCTGCATTAGATTCACACTATATTCACACACTAAATATAATAGCTTATATTTTAGAATAGTTGGATTTAGAATTGAGCAGGTGGTTGGACTAGAAGACCTCCAATAGACCTTCCAGCTCTATTCTGATTGATTGGATTTTGGTTTATAGCTACCCATAATAAACCCTATGAGTAGAGTTTATTTATACAACACACAACATAAATTTTAATAAAGCATTTGTAGAGAGAAAATTCCTAAATATGCAATCTTTGTGTTATATAATATCTTGAAAGTCTGCATTTCACACATCAAGAACATTATTTTGCTAACAGCACTGAAAACATTATAAAAGGTAAAGGTAAAGGTTCCCCTTGCACATATGTACTAGTCGTTCCCGACTCTAGGGGGCGGTGCTCATCTTCGTTTCAAAGCCGAAGAGCCAGTGCTGTTTGAAGACGTCTCCGGGATCATGTGGCTGGAATGACTAAATGGCAAAGGCGCACGGAACGCTGTTACCTTCCCACCAAAGGTGGTCCCTATTTTTCTACTTGCATTTTTTATGTGCTTTCAAACTTGGCAGAAGCTGGGACAAGTAACGGGAGCTCACCCCGTTACGCAGCACTAGGGATTCGAACTGCTGAACTGCCAATCTTTTGATCGACAAGCTCAGCGTCTTAGCCACTGAGCCACCCCATTCCTGAAAACTTTATACAATGTGTCTAACAACAATATATATAATTATATTATATGTATGTATGTATAATAATAATATTATATTATTACTATTTTATTTACATGTATGTAAACTGAAACTTCAGCTTTTATGCTATGAAACTAGGTCCTATTCAGAAGTGCAAAATAGCAATAGCATTTAGACATATACCACTTCACAGTGCTTTACACCCCTCTTTAAACTGTTTACAGGGCATATTGCCCCCAATAATAAATACCCGAGTCTTCGTTCTTTTTTTTTTTTTTAATATTGCATTGCATATCTGTAACTAGTTAAGAAATGAAATAGTAAACTATCAATGAGCGTCTTATATTAGGATTCAACAAATTCAGTGCAGGTATTCTTTTTGCATAGTGAGAAGTGTGTGGGAGAGGGATAAACATCCATTTTTCTCTTCTGTATTCCTATTACCACTATTTATCATCTGCATTAGGATTACTAATACAATTTAGTATCTTAAAGAATTAGGATTAAGAATTATAAGAAAATATCCCCAAACCACGAAGAATAAGATTCCCCATTGCAGATATTTTTCTTCCAACGCAGAGACACACTCCTAAAAAAGAATGGGTAGAGGTAGATAACACATACTGCTGTTCTTCACATCCTTCAATTATGAGAAGAAAAGAGCACAACATATGCCCCAAACTATAATCAGTTCACAACTTTAATGGTTTGTCAGATCTTGTTAATAGAGCAAAAAATGCTAGTAGCCAACTAATAGCTGTAGTGCAGGGGAGAGGGTTGGGGGAGGAGATTGGGTTCCTTAAGTTTGGCAATGATGTCAGTGATATCCAGATGGATACATCGTGCAGTCTTTGCCAGAATGAATCCAGTTGCTCACAAATGGCACACTTGAATGTAGCATGAAAAAAGCCATGAAAATAGAAGCCTTGGATTGACTTTTTCTGTTGGATTGTAGAGGCAAAAGATAAAATTTGTTTGATCTGCATTTTAAAAATTGTTGACATAATATGCATTTCTCAAACTAAAAAAAAAAACTGGTCAAAATGTTAATAAAATGATTAAAATGTGCCCAGTAGAAGAAAAACTTGTGAAATGAGCTTATTATTGTAAGAAAAATGCAGAAAACTTAACATGAGTTTAGTTGTTTGGTTCTTGCTTTTTTTTAATTGCAAGGAGCAGATGGAAGAGTTTTAGAAACATATCTATGAGAAATTGACCCAAGATATACCTTATTGAAAAAAATGTTAGGAGAAGGAAGAAATAGAGAAAATATAATACTGTTTTGTCAGTGTTAGACAAAAAATAAACCACCATGGATACATAAGTATAATGGAACATGTTCTAGTCTGGAAGCAAATTCTTGACATGTAATTCATTATATTTAGATCAAAATTTTCCTCTAAAGAACTCAAGATTCTACTTATGTAGATTCCCTAAAATTTAAAAACTAGTCCATCATTTCTGCGATGGACAACATGATTCCTGGGCAGTTTAGAATCTCATGTGTGAAAGGATTTTTTTTAATGAAACTTCTCTGCTTTTAAAAAATTAAAATTACTTCCATTCTTTCAAAAACTCAGCTATTGTAATGATACTTTTCACTATTTCACAATACTTTTCAGAGAATTACATCACCATTCCACATTCATTATGTAATAATCCGAAAGGGGAATTCTTAAGTGCTCTCTGAGCTTGTTGGTTTTCTTGCAGATGTTGCAAACTTCACTCCCTACTAGCACCGATGATGTTACCTAGTTTGGTAATGAAATGTCTGTAAGAAAACAACCAAACTGAGAGAACACTAAAGACCCCACACTTCAACCCTGAGCTACAAATGTTCTCTTCGATTGATCAGCATGTACAGTAAGCACGTGCATTATACTCTGCCTTTTTAGTTGTCTTTTTTATGTACCTAGTATTCTTTCTGTCAACACCCCCATCATAACCATTTTATAGATGCTTGTTGTTGTTGTCTTATTGAGATTTTCTGTATATCTAACATTTAAAAATTAGGACATGTACTTGACCAGGATCTCATTGCAACTGCTGCCAACTGATTCCAACTGTGGAATCTGGATGCATTTGCAAGAGGAATAGATGGAAGGCAGCTGGGTCTATATTTTGCATTCTCTGTGGGTTTTCTTATGCAGCTGTGCTTGTCAATTCACCCTGTGTGGGCCCGCCATTATCACCAGCTTGCCTGGCTTTCCTGCTGCCTACCTAATTGTGTTTGTAGAGCATAGCAAACTGAACAAATTATTTTTGAGTTCTTATCTTTTTCTTGTTATTCAAAGGTAGCATGGTTCAGTGCATGCTGTTTAATTTTACTTACTTTGCTAGCTGATTACATGACAGAACCCAATAGGAACAGCTTCTTTATCAAGTATTGTGTTTTAGAAAAATGATACAAAATAGGACTGAAACAAATATCCTCAAATATTTGAAAGGTATGCAATTTGACTCTTTCATTTTTGCCACTCAAATGGTTGAGTGAAAAAATATGAATCAACATATTTCAGTGAGAAATGGAGTTGTGCAAGAATTATTTTAACTTCATGATTCCATTTGATTGTACTTTTTAATATTCCATTTATTACATTCACATTTCAGTAATTTTCTGTTCTCACATTAGCTGTCTTGTGATATTTGTGTAGCATCAACAACTACATTTTTTCTTCTGCTGCCATTTTTTAAAACTGGAAATGTTATTAAAGCTATATCATTATTATACATTCGTCAGTGTATAAGAAATTATGACCTGGGATAACCATAACAACAAGTCAGCCGATGGGAACTGTTTGGTGACAACAGTTGTGAGCCATGGGAGCCGGCTCAGAGCCTGGGCGTGGCTTAGCTTGACTGATCTGTATATATATAAGAGTTGGTTGTCCTTGTATTATAGCTTCTGTTGCTTCTGTGATTCTGTAATTTCTGGTTCTGGCTTCTGCTTTTTGTCCTTGTATTTGTCCCACATTGCAAGAGCTGCGTGGGTATTGTATACATGCATCATGTTTTATATTATTGTTTATAAACAAGTTTCTTCTATAAATGAATTATTTATTTATGTGCTGGTTGGATTGCTGCAAACTCTAACAACGTTGTTACATGAAATGGCATTTATCTTATATAAAGATAGATGTACATAGAAAAGAATTCCATCATCCCTTATTGATGCACCAGTTTTTAAGAATATTCTAAAAGAATGAAAAATGGGAATATTTTCAGGCAAACATTACATTGATCAACATGTGCAGAACAGGTACCAAAAAAACAATTTGGGACCTCATCAGATAAGCACACTTATAGAACAAAAAGACAACTCTATTACTATTTAATTCAGTTTTCCTTTTCTGAGATGAAGATATGCCACCAATTCAAATATGAATCCACTTTTCTATTTTTTTAAAAAAAAATCCTAATGTATTCTAACTATCTCTGATAATTATCTAATGAGAAGGGTTTAATATTTCTTCAAGATCAAGGCTTGCAGAAGATAGAGACATTTCAGGTATCATGAAATCCTAAAGAAGACAGCTAGAGATGATAAATTTGTTAAAAATCCAACAATGTAAAAACAATTAATGCCTGAAGTAGTGAGTCCCTGAAGGCATTTTCTGTGGCAGGATAATAAGGAAGAATTTTAATAAATTTAAATTTATTAAATAAATTAAATTTATCCCTGACCTTCAAGTTCTTTTGAAGATCCCTATTTTGTGTATCTCATGTATACCAAACTTTACACCAGAACTTTGGTCTGATTTGATGATCACTTCTTCTTCTGTACCTTTTGAATCCATCTGCAATCATGGTCTTTAAGAATCCTGCTTCTCTTGATTTTTTGTCAGCAATAGATCTGTTATGCCAGACATTATAGCGAATTATTTAATACAAGTAAAATATAGGACACTTTAATTTGACCTTCTCAGCTTTCAAATACTAGCATTTTTAGATATTAAATATCAATTTATTATTGATATAAAATTAATTGAATAATTTTAAATAATTTGTAATACATTTTATATATTATATTATATAATAATTAATATATAATATTACATATTATATAATTATTATATAATATTAATTAAATATTAGATTAGCATTTAATAACAATACTAAAACTGTTAAATCTTAAGTCATTTGCTGATTTAAACAATTGTTATATGCCAAATATTTGCATAAAATTGTGGGTTTAAATATTCATACTGTAAACATAAAGTACTCTATGAATATGGGGTCATTGAGATAGTATCCAGAGAACAGTTTACATAAAGGCAAACATAAATGTTTGAAGAACATTTCAGTTGTGATACAAAGATACTTTGAAGCTGCTAGAGCCAAATTCTTTAATTACCCAAACTAGATATTACTTCATAAATCAGGCTAAAATCTCTTATTATTTGATATAACACAGCCATCCAAATGTTACTACATGATGAACAATTCATTTACATACATTCATGCTCTGTTCGCTGATGATTAACTACATCATAACATTTCTAGCTTTCTGATATTTCTTAATATGATACAGTTAACTTTTGTTATGTGACACAGCATATTAATATAAAATGCCATAGCAAAATTAGATTTTAATATTATGTAAAATTCATAATTATTAGTTCTGCTTTTGATCACCTTAGTTCCTAAACCATAATCAACTGAATTAACAGATTATAATTTAAGTATTTTAGAGTATCAGGGGAACAATGTCATTGTATCCAAATTCATTTTTAATTAGTGTTGTTATTTATTTCCCAATTGACCTTTTAAAAGTAACTAACTAAGGACCTGAATAAGTGATTTTAGTATTTGACATTACCAAAATTGTATTATTAGTCCTACATTTAAAAAATAATAATATGAATTGTTAATAAACTAATTCAAATATAATGTATATTTTTAAAAATCACATTAAAAATGAAATACATTATTAATGGGCCTAGAAGTTAAAATAAATTTGTGATAGCATGTCTACACACTGTAAGAAACAATATTTTCTAGCTTGATAAAGTGAGTTATTTTACAATGGGGAAATTTAGCAGAACTGGGATGCTATCGATTCTGCATTCAAAAATGTGACCTCATTAAACATCTGTTCACCTGTTGATCTAAATTGGTCTGCCAAAATGCCAAATTTGCCCAGGTGGGCATTTTAATATCTCAGGATTATGCACCAATTGAATCCTGATTCCTGGATTAGAAAGCCCTGCTCACGGTCAGTTGCACCTGTACCTAGATCAGAAGCTCATGTTCACAGTCACTCATGGTTTGATTTGATTACTATATTATGCTCTGTGTGGGTTGCCCTAAAAGAGTATTCAGAAAAATGTGATGGCACAGAAGTTATGGGCACATGTCATTTGGCACATGTGACACCACTCCTCTGTGAGCTTCATTGATTGCTTGTATACATTTTGATTCCATTCTGGGTGGTAGTAGTTACCATTAAAGTCCTTCATGGCTGAAGGAAAGGTTATTTATGCACCCATCTCTCTCTGATTGTATCCACTCATCCTGTTAGATATTAACAAGATATTAGTTGTACATTAAGAGAATCATATTTCAGATCCTATCTATTAGAGCATGTTCTCTGGCACGACCAGAAGACTTTTCTGTCATGGCTCTGAAAATATCATATTCCCAGAGATCAGACTCACTTCTAACTTGTTGGCCTTTTCACATCGCCTTGAAGACTTGATTTTGTTGACAAACCTCAGGTAACTGAAGGCAATAGCTGTTATGATTGATTAATAACTGTTACAATAATTGTTGTTACTTATTTTTCTCATCAGAAAATATTTAGCGGGGGAGGAGACAACAATGGAAATAACAGTGATGAATTAAACCAGGGGCCCTGGGCAGAAATTTTGGGAACTAGGCAGTGGAAGAGGGTAGAGGGGGGAGAAATACCTAGATTGAACAGCCAAGAAGCAGATTCTGACAGAGATAGAAGTCCAGGAGAGGAATTTGGGAGGCAAGTTTTTTTTTTAAAAAAAAAGCATAGCAATTAAAGTATTGAAATGGGCAAGGGATGATGGATAGATGATTTTTCTTGTCTGTTGTTTTGATTTGCTTTCCCTTTTCTCTCTGTTTTCTTTCTTTCTTTCTTTTTTTAGGTAGGTGACATGATTAGAAGTTAGATAGGATAGAAAGAAAATGGTGGGGGGTTTTCAGTAAAAGGTGCAATGATTAAAAGTTAGAATAAGTGATAGAAAGAAGAGAAGGGGGAATTTTAGTATATACTCTTTTATATAATAAAACAAAAGTAACAATAAGATAAAGCATGGAATAATTGAATAATGACAGATTGCAACTTATTATAATTGTGTATCATTATTAGAAATATATAAGTTGATTGAATCTAATAATTATGATTAATTTTACTAGTTTTATTTGTATTAGAATGTTGGTCACCCAGGTGCCATGCTGTTCATGCATTGATTTGATATGTTTGTAAAAAAAAAAAAAAAAAAAAAACTTTTTAAAAAATATTTAGCCACTAAAAGTAATCCACATGAAATGTGTGCTCATATAAATTCACTAAGAAATAAGGTGGAGGGATAAGGTAAAATTCAAGCAGCAGAAACTATTTTTTTCTGATTTCTTAGCTTTAAATTGTTTACTTCAGCCAAAAGGTTTTATATGTTTTATCTATCCACTTATAAATTAATTTGTCAGCAATATTCTTAACATTTTAAAAAATATCAAATGAAACATTACATTTCTAAAAATAGTATTTTCTTTTAGACAGAGCTATCATTTATATACTGCTGATGGAGCTGAATTATTTTAATAAATGCCTAGTTACATTGTTATCAGATTATAAATAAAGAATTCAATTATTTAAATATGATTACAGCAAT